AGGCAGCAGACTGTGAGGCAGGTGCCGGAGCATGAGGGACTCGGGCCACAACAGATCCGGGGGTGGCCAAGGAGTCGTTTCCAGGGAGGGGAGGAGTGGGCGTGCGGGCACTGCCCGGCCGGGCCTTGTCTTAGTCCATGGTGTCATCCTCCCCTTCATCTTCTGCATCAGACCCTGAGGACTGTTGCGTCGGCTGGGAAGGGCAGGAGGGGCAGGACCTGTCAGTAGCGGTGTGATCACCAGAGCAGTTAGCACACTTGAGAGGGGAGGCTGGACAGCAGCCGAGAACGGGTTTGAGGAAGCCCAGCTTGGGGTACGTGGGGTTGGGACAACGGGGGTTGGCTCTTGTATAGTTCGATGCACAGATCGGGCAGATAGGAATGGTGGCAGTGCAACCTGGGGCTGGGTGGCCAAACTTCCAGCAGTGCCTGCATTGCATGAATTTGTTCTTGGAGACTGCATTCTGAACGTTGCGGAGCTTGGAGTAGAGGAGGATCTTGGACCCAATATGGGCCACATCGGAGGGGGGCGACGATAATGACCACTGAGGTGGTGGCCTTGCAAAGGAGGGGGTTGGGTTGGAGGTAGCAGGCGCCAAAGATGTTGACATCCTTGGCATTCTTAATGGACTCAGCAAGTGCAGGGAAGAGGTCGGTTTGGTCCGGAGGGAGGAAGGCAACTGCAAGGCCGTGGATGACCAGCTGGACCTCGTTAGGCACAGCACAGAAGGGGCGGTAGGGGTTGTTCCTAACGGTAAAGGACTGGTTGATTTTGTTGCCAAGTGCCTCGTAGTAGGGGGAGTAGCTGGTGGCAGGCGTGAGGGGATCGGTAGCTAGGAGGGTGATTATGCCACGAGCATTGACAGTGGATGAAAAAGAAACGGGGAAGGGACAGTTTGCCTTCTAAAGAACGGAGACAACAATGTCTGAAGCAGTGGTCATCAGGCGTGTTGTGTCGGGGTGAGGGACCGGGGCAGTGGCCGCCCGGCATATTGCGTCGGAATGAGGGCCCAGGGCGGTTCGAGGCGTGAAGAAGCGGCGTTCGGCAGCAGGAAGTGGGGCAGCCTCCCGGACCTGGGAGGGGGCACCACCTGACGCTGTGACTTGGGCTGCAGTGGTCGCTTTCTTCATGCCCTTCCCATTGGTCTGTTGTACCTGGCCCCTGGGGGGGGCTGCAGCACTGGCGTAAGAGGAGGAGGGGGGGACTAGTGTGAGGAAGGAGGGGGCGGGGCCTGGGTGGAAGGTAGAGTCTTTCGGGAATTCACCCTGCGCGAACTAGAAGGCTGCAAAGGAGCGGGGATGTCTGGCTGCGAAGGTGTGTAGCTTACCATACCACACTCCATCAACCTGTACAGGGGAGTCGATGTCCTCAACCGGGTTATCTAGGATATAGCATGGAGGAGGACGGTACTTTGGTCCAGGGGGAGCAGGAGGGCCAGGGGGCGGCGGGGGGCGCCTTGTCTGTTTTGGAGGGGGAGGAGGGGGGGGGGCCCAGTGGGACGGCCGAAAGGCGGGCAGCTGATGCCGTGACTCTCAAAGAGAGGTCGTGGACAGAAGCTTCTAATGCAGGGAGAGAGGGAGGATCCTTGGGGACAGCCATGGAAGACTGTTCGAGGGCCTCTAGCCTTTTGATGATGCTGCCTATCCCCGAGAGGGCAGTGCAGAGCAGTGGTAGGAGGATGGCTTCGCCAGCAGACAGTTCTTGAAGCTGGGAATCGGTTGGGGGGGGAATCAGATAGGCTGCCCATCCTATGTGACGGAGAGTGCGGGCTAGCTCTTCCCTTACTGGAGAGAGATAAGCGGGAAGGGAGGGAGTTGGAGTCCTTGACTCGTAGGGCGCAGAGCGGTTGGAGGCTCGAGAGCCAGACCTTGAAGGTCCCGGACGAGCCCCCTCCATGATGAAGGGGGCTGTGTGGAGTAGTGAGCGGGCTGTGCACTTAGAGCCTGAAGCCTAAGCTAGGGAAGGAATTCGGTGTGTGGAGATGGTTGCCACGCAAAACCCTGGAGTTTTGCCTGGCCGAATGTGGTAATGTTTTTCCGCGAGAGGAAAGTAGAGGGTGCGGAGCGTGGACTTAAAGCTAGGAATTTTGTTTTGTTTCACTCATTGATTATTTGTTTAGGGTACAAAAAATGTATGGAGCGCTAGCTATGACGACAAAAAACCCATATTCCTCCTCTCACCACAGGAAAAAGCCAACCCTCCAAGCCCCTCTGGTATGGAGCCAACCACACATCTCGCCTCAAAGCAAAGAACCCCAAGCCCGGCTAGATGGACGAACAAGGAAATCCTAACTAAGAAGAAAGCAGGAAGGGCCAGGAAAACCCGCTGAGAAATCCCAAAAGACAAAAGAAATGTAAGTAGCAAGCCACACAGGCCCCGAAGGGCGAGTCCACTCATTCAAGCGGGAAGCGACGCACGAAGCGCGCTAAGATAGGGGGTCCCCCCCAGATCCCACTCCAAGGAGACAGTGTAATACCATGGAGGGAAGGAGGAGACCAGCCGGCTGTGGGCGATAACCGGGGGGAGGGGAAGGTGTAGCAGTAGGGTGCCAGCAAATCCGACGGTAAGGAGAGGAGAGTGGTGGGGTAGACCCAAAGATCTTAAACATCGTCTATCGGTAATCGTGTTCGTGTTTAACTAGGCAGCCTCTTAGGGAAGCAAGAGAATGGGGAGATCGACCATAGCCTGTTGGCTGTTCTCCCCTACTGCAACTTGAGTCCCGGCCGTCTGACAATGGTGGTTAAGGGGTTGCCGACCGTGAGAAGGCTAAGCGAGCCAACTCAGAAAGAGGAGAGGACTCCCCGCCATGCGTGGGGGGAGGAGGAAGGAGGCGCAAGGAACATCATCAACGGCCGCCTAGGCAACGCATAGCAGGTGTTTTACCGCGTCTCTTATGTAGTCCCTTGTTCTGGGAGAGATAGCATCACTGTAGTGGAAGGGATCCCACCACCTGCCAGCCAGCTGAGGAGGGGGTCCGACCGACCAACCCCCAGGGAGAGACAGGGCCCTGGAACGGTAGACCGAAGTCAATACCCCGGGTGTGAGAGGAGAGAAGAGCCAGACTCCCCTAGGCCGAGGCCAAAGGCAGGAGTGGGCAGGAGGGTGGAGAATGTTTCGTAACGAAAAAAAATCTCACCATAAAAACCATGGTGTTGAGTTTTCAATTGCCGGAGGTGTAGGGGAGACAGAGGATGGACTTAAAGCTAGGAAGCCACCTCGATATTTATATTCCGTGTCTGGGTAGTAGCGGGCTACATCCTATCCCTTACTCACTACTAGTATATACCTGCCATACTAACCATTTAGTGTCTTTGGAGTACAAACCCCGTTTGACCCTGATAACTAACTTCCCTACTCTCTTCCTTAAGTGGAGTCATCAGCTCTGTCAAAGGACTTATCAATGACTCTTTTATATGTATAGCTTAGAGTGCTTGACGAAGATAACTAGTAACTCTACCTGTGAGTTGTTATTAACCAATTGTGAACTGGTCTTCCGGATGACTCTGGTTTACATAAGCTGAAGGGGCATGCTTATTACTTCTTATAATAGCATATAGACTTGCAGACATCGTAGCTCTATAATTAACTGACCAATCTGAACCAACTAAGTTTTATCTTATAGAGTGGAGCACCTTCTATGTTATCCAGCAAAAGCGCCTTGGTTGCATGCCTCATATCTCCGCAGAGTGGGCTGCATAGATGCCTTATCGTTCTGTGTAATAATATGATATTGTCGCGATATCTATGGTAGGGTCTGGAGTTGAACATATGATCTTATGCATTTAGTTACATGCCGTACCAATTACACTTCCATGTATAAAACCTTCCCAATATATATAATATGTGACCCACGTCACAAGGTCCTGTCCTGACCTTGTATCCTGAAAATTTAGTAGCACTCACTTGTATCATAAGAATGCCTCCTGTATCTGGTTACATCCAGTCAATTCTCTAACTACTTGTAGAAAATCCTGTGACTACTTAGTTGCGTCCAGAGAATTGCAAGAGTACTAGGTTGTGTTCAAACTTCTGGTGCCAAGAACCCTTGCATCCTGAGTTGCAGTTTGTGTCTTGGGCGTCCTGTGTGCCACATGCACTAGATGTACAGAACGCAAGTGTTTATTTTTACTGATGCTCTAAAGAGTGCCTGATTGCTTAATGGTACTATATGGCTCAATGGTACTTTGTGGCTCACCACAGTAACTTTGTGGCTCAATAGTGCTTTGTGGCTCTGCGCGGGTCTGTGTGTCAAGGTGGCCTTTTAGTGTCCCAGTGCGACTTTCCTGTCTAGTACGGCTTTGCATGCGGCTTGAAGTCTTTTAGCTTAACACTAGTGTTGGATTATCATCTTTGAAGTTTAAAGAATACTATCTTTAATTTTACATCAATTTCTGCAACCTCACTTATTGCTTAATTCCCATTACTATTAGGCTAGATTCATATCTTGATATCTCTATAAGGTTCAACTCGTTGGCTTGGTAGAATAAAGGCTGGAGCTGATAGTATAATTTGTTATTACAATGATGAATTGTTGGTTAAGTAGAAGTATTTGAATTATTTACAAACTGTTTATATGCTAAAAACCAATCTTAATTTACAAAGTTGTACAGAGCCACAAAGTACTGTTGAGCCACAAAGTGCTGTTGAGCCACAACGTGCTGTTGAGCCACAAAGTGCCGTTGAGCCATAAAGTCCCGTTGAGCCATAAAGTACCGTTGAGCCATAAAGTACCGTTGAGCCATAAAGTACCGTTGAGCTGTCAGGCACTCTTTAGAGTGCTCCCGGTTGTGGCTTGCGAACCTGCGGCGGTTGTGGCGGCTAGCCACAACCTTGGCACGAGTAGTTGGTTACGATAGACCCATCCTCAATCTGCTACGGTTGCGGTTACCCTACCGCCAAGTCCTCACGATCATTCAGCAGAAAAAAAAAAAATTCTCCTAAAAGATAAAGGAACAAGTCCACAGCTGCGCTGCTTCTGCACCACCACCGCCACCACCACCACCCAACAAAACTACAATCTCATCCACGAAAATGGGAAAGAGCAAGCTTGTCCGTTCTTTCCCTCTCCCCCCAAATGGCAATTGTGCAATCAATAACTAATATACGGCACAGAAAAGCGCCTTGCTCCAGCACCAAGGCCGCGACCCTATCCGCGAAAAGCAAAAAAAGTTATCCAGACGGCAGCCAAAGAGCTTATGCAGGCGGGGTGGCAATGGTGAGAAGGAGGAGGAGGAGGGAGAGGAGGAGGGAGGCAATGTGGTGCCGGAATTAGTTGATATAGTTACATTGGCATCGGAGGGGATGTTGAAGTCTGCCATGGAAACCGAAGAGAAGCATACTGAGTCTGATCCCGAGGAGGAGGAAGTCCAAGACTCCAATTCTGCCAACCGCGGTGAAGAGGTAGAGGAGGTGGAGGAAATAGAATCAGACTCTGACATCCCGCTCTCCGATGTTTCCGCCTCAGACCTGGACTCAGACACAGACCATCCCCCACACCAGAAACTAACCACAAACAACACCCTCGCCCTAACCGCCTCCTTAGCACGCATATCCCTCCCGCGTACCCTCCTCTTCTCAGAAACCCTACTCGTAACCACCCCGGAACCCACCGCCATTCTAGACATCCATGACGACCTGGCTCGGGAGCTCACGTTCTACAAGCAAGCCCTCAGCGCCGCCAACGAGGGCCGCGATAAGATCCTGGCGGAGGGTGGGCAGTTCAGTCGACCGGTGGACTACTTCGCCGAGATGCTGAAGGATGACGAGCACATGGGCAAGATACGACAGAAACTGCTGGACGAGGCAGCGGGAACGCGCGCGGCGCAGGAGGCGCGTAAGCAGCGGGACCTGAAAAAGTTTGGGAAGAAGGTGCAAGTGGCGAGGTTGCAAGAGCGGGAGAGGGGGAAGAGGGAGATGTTAGAGAGGGTTAAGGTTTTGAAGAGGAGTATGTCTCCTTTCCCCTCAATTTAGTTATTGACTTGATGTGTAGGTGCTAATTGATTGGGGAGGGGAATGTAGAAAGACAAGGTGCGGAAACGGAAACAGCCACTGAAACGGACATGTTCGATGTCGCCCTCGAAGAAGCCGTCAAGGGCCGTCGCGGCGACTCCAGAGACGGCATCAGCCACAAACGCCAGAAGAAGGATCAAAAGTATGGCTTTGGCGGTAAGAAGAGGTTTGCGAAGAGCACTGATGCCAAATCCTCCGGCGACCTTTCCGGCTTCTCGAGCAAGAAGAATAGGGCCCAATTCACCGGCGTTAAGAAGAGGAAGCCGGCTATGAGACCGGGCAAAAGCAAGCGTGCTGGTGGGGGTGGTGGCAGGATGAGGTAGACGGATGATGGGAACATAACTCATTGTACAGTATCTTGGCTTGTGAGTTCCGAAACCGCAGGTTTTGAACAGAACAGATTAGAATTATGTAACCGGTAATATATTCTATCGCTAGGTCTATTATGGAGGAGCCAAGTTCTCTCCTCTCCAGCAGAATCGAATCCTCTGAACCCGGTACCCCATATAGTCTAGAGAGAAACACCACTAAGCTGGCGGCAGGAAACCCGCGAATAAAACGCCCTGCACAAGAGTGTAACAAACCATCCAATGCACAATCCACTTGGCACGGGCATCGCCAGCACAAATCATGCACGCAACCCACCAGTACCATACCACGCACCCGCTGCTCAACCGCGTGATTATCTGAACGTGGTATGTCAGGAGCGCCATGACGGCCAGCAATATCTGGGGTATGGCCAACTTCCTAACGACGGGCCCAGCACCTCCGTAGATCGCCCATATACTGGAGCACATGAGGACGATGAGCGCTGGCGTCGCGATGAGAAACAACGGAACGTTGGGGATTGCCCAGTATCGGAATAAGCCCACGTTCCTGCTCCAGTTAGTTCTAGTCGAGTGAGTAGGGATTGGGGATATGGGGGACAAACCAGTACCGCTCCTGCACAAAAAGGTAGATACTAGGAACCGTGTCGTCACACCAACTCCTAAGCTCCCCCGTGCCCGCTACTACAAGGCAGTACCTCCCGTAAGCAAGCCACTGTGGAAATGCCAATCCTGTCCCAACGAGCAGCCCCCCAATCCCCAACCCAACTACCCTCCCCACAGCCCTCCAACCCCTCCCCTCCACCCCAGCTACAAACCCCCACCCAACCCTCCAAAAATCCAGCAGAAACACAGCTCCATTCAATAACCCATTACTCCGCACCATGGTTGCCAAAAACATCCACACACCAGCAACAATCACGTGTCCGCGCACATAGCAGTACAGCCCTGAGAAGCTCAGCAGGGCAAACAAAGACTCGCTGTACGGTGCCGAAAGGAAGAGTCCAGCGGGGGAGATGACGTGCAGGAGTGACGCCACGAGTGGTAATTTCCTATTCGAGGGGAAGACCTCGCGTGTGAGGGCGTAGAGTACAGCTGTTGACAGCGCGTGCGCGAGGTTCGCCAGGAGGACAGCGGAGAGGGCGTAATCGTAGGGTTGTGGTAGGTCCATATACTTGAGGGCCGGGGAGAGGGCTAGGAGACTGTTAGCTCTCCATGTCGGGCGGGTAGAAAAGGTAGGAGGTAGCGGCACCCCAATGAAATGCACAGACTGCCTTAACAAAGCCGTAACCGAAAGCCCATTCCTGCTCATTGGCGTAGCCTCGGTGCGCTACTTTGACGAAGTAGATAGCGTCCCACCGAGTTAGTTTCTCCAGCAACGATTGTAGGAGTGTTGTTGGCGCTGGGAGTACTAGGGATGTGGAGGTGTCATAGGGGGCTGGGGTTGAGAGGGCTATAACCAGCAGGAGGAGCTTCCAGGATAGGAAAGCTTTTGGAATTGTGCTTGGTGGCATGGTGGTCTGGAGGAAGGAGGGGGGGAGGGGCAAAATATAAGGGTTGGTTGGTGGGTTGGTGCGTGGACCCGGAAGGTCGGCTTGGCAGGGACCATCCAAATTTGCAATGTGCAATATCTTGAACTACAGTACCGTAACCACTGTGTACAGGGGGTTAAGGGTAAGTGAGGCGAAGGGGGGTGTGATTGGGTTACTACTTTAGCTACTTAGAATTGGTTAGCGTGATGTACAATACCACAGAACCTTTGGGATATGACAAATTTTGCCACCAAAATCCATCACCACATCCATCACCACATCCACTATGATCACCACATCCACCATGACGACAATGCTACCCAGAAAGTCACCACCATCAACAGAGCACCTCCCACTACTACTTACTATCACAACAGCAGTGACAGCAGGAAGAGTAAAGGCTGCCGAGAACATTATGCTCCTGCAGGTAATCGAAGACGTCAGAAAACAACTCAGGATCAGAGGCAACAGGTGATAATACTTTGGAACATGGCAGGAATGCGTTGGAAGGGATGTGTTATCTTAAAAGAGGTTTAACTATCAGATTTCTAATCATAAAAAAAATAGGAGATTGCAGAAAAAGTTAACATTGACTATCGAGCCTGTTAGAAAATATATCAGCAGTCTCTGATATATGGATCTCCCTCGAATCAGCCCGGACTGGCAGCCCAGTTCTCTTTGATAAGGCAGAAAAGGAACGACTTGTTACTTTTGTAACACAAGATCAACGGACCTGCCAGCTGCAATGGGAAGAAATCATCACTGAGATAAACTATAATTGTTTGGTCAGAACACTTTGTGACACCTTGGCCTATTTGGGTTATCATAAAAGAGTACCACATAAGAAGTTGTTGAATTTTCCAATTCATTTTATATGTATATTCTCCTTAATAATATTGTATATTCCTCTACTTAGTATTATTTCTAGTTTATGAACATTACTACAGCAGAGTATGTATTACATATATTTTATTGATATTTCATGATATAATTAGGGGATTATAGCGTGCTTTTCTTATCTGGTGTTCAGGTTTATTTCTTACATTTTATGCATCATCATACATGGTCATCGGTTATTTGATTTACAATTATGTTCTAATTATCTATTCACACCACCTCAGATTTACATACATTTTGTGGGATTTCCTTGGCAGTTCTTTAGGGTCAAACACATTCATATTTCTGTTTTTCCTACTTATGTTATAGTCAAACATGTTGATACTTATGTTTTCCCTTACATTTCCTCTTAGTTACATGAAGGATACACACCTGTATAAATAGGGGTTACCACCCATCTCACTTAAGAGAATTAAGGACAAGAACAACTACTCATCTACCTTCATACAAAATTCCTCCTTGCTTAGTGTGCCTGCAATACACTTTTTCTACTGTGTTGTACTTTTGTACAAAGTTATTAAGATAGTGCCATACCATACATATTTGAACAGAAATAAGTATAACTGACAGCTCATATTGCATTTTCTTTATTTTTTCAAAATAGAATCATTCCAATCTTAATGAACTTGAATGCAGGAGACAAAGATTTATATAGCAAATTATCTGTACACATCTGAGTGCCCATACTAAATTCAGACTCAGATGTTCTTATTATTAGACTTCAAGTTAATCATATATTTATTCTTATAGATAGGATATTTGAGAGAAAAACAAGCTACTATGTGTCCAGTGGTATAATGAGTACCAGAATTGGATCTGGAAAGAATGAATGGAAGTGATTTGAAAGGATGAATCAGGATTTTCAATATTAGGGTTCAGTTATCAGCTATGGATTCTAGTAAAGCCAACAAGGAATAGCACCTGAACTATATTGATCGAGTCTGAAAGTCTGGCCACAAGTCTGTGATAGTTTGGGGTGCATTTTGTAGAGCATTCAAGTCTTGTCTCCACACTGTTCCTGAGGGTACTACTATAAATTCTAAGAAATACTCAAATAATCTCCTACTTTCTCTTCTTCTACTGTTTTAAACACAAGTCTGTAAGAGATATAGGTAGACTGTAACTATGGAGGACAATGTGCTAGGACATAAGGGATATACAAATGCTATAAGAGATGAGTGGGGAATGGACTATATTTTTTGGCCTCCGCAGTCATCAGATCTGAACCTTATCGAGGTATTATGGAGAGATATTAGAACAGAATTGGGCCAAATCTTTCGACGTGCTGCCAATCCTAATACCTTGGCTATAATAGTTAGGATAGCATGGTGAAGAATTACTTCTGAGTGTCTCTCTAATCTGATTAACAGTATGCCTCGAAGGCTTCAAGCTGTTATTGCAGTCAATGGAGAAGCTACACCTTACTAATATATCATGATTGCTAGGTCAGTCTATTAATACCTGATGTTATTTTGTTATCAGAAAGCTGTTTGCTAATTTTACTTTTCAAAAAAGGCAGGATTTTAGTAATAAAATACAGTGAAGACAGTAACACAATGAACGAAAGACAGCAATTACTAGGCAGCATTCCTAGCTGTCCGTGGGCCTAGTAGAGCTGAATGAGGGAACTGTTGGAGACTACAAAGGTCTGTAGGAGACAGCAGGGGACTGTGGAAGATAGCTGGAGACCATAGAAGACTGCCAGGGGACGGTAGGAGATAGCTAGAGACCATGAGAAACTGCTGGAGGCCTGTAGGAGATAGCTGGAGACTATGAGAGACTGTCGGAGGACTATGAGAGACAGCCAGGGACTATGGGAGACTGCCATGGGTTACATAGGAGACAGCCAGGACTAGGGGGGACTGCCGGGAGACTATAGAAGACAGCGAGTGACCATGAGAGACTGCCGGGGGACTATGGAAGACTGCCTGGAACTATGGGAGACAGCCAGAGACTCTGGGAGACTGCCGGGGACTATAGGAAACCACCAGGGACTGTGGAACTTGGAGACAGCAGGTGACTGTGGGACTTGGGAACAGCGGGGGACTGTGGGACTTGGAGACAGCAGGGGACTGTAGGAGATGGCCAGGAACTGTAGAGAATGGCCAGAAACTGTGGAGGAGGGCCAGAAACTGTGAGAGACAGCTGGGGATTGTAGAAGATAGCTGAGGACTATGGGAGATGGTCAGGAACAGTTGAGAACTACTGGAGATCATTAATATCTATACCTGTAAACCGAGTTTTTAATTTCTAAAGTTCAAAGTATTATATATTTCATCTTGTAGATATGGTAGATACCTTTTGCCTTACTTTTTTTCCCCTCCACTTTCAGAGTCTTGGCAGCAACTTGTAGCCAATTGGAATTGGAGCTATTCCAGTTTCCCCTAAAATGGTCCTCCAATTACAGCAGAGTTTGCCTCATTAATGCTCACATCCTATGCACTCAGAGATGGAAGTAAAAATCAAGTTGTCAAGAGAACCCTGTTGTTGCAGGGAGGTACTGAGTTCGCCGGAATGGAAGAAAAGATTAGCATATAAGATTCCTCAAGTACCCAGACCAGCACTGGGCAGACGTAACATAATACTGATGATATCCACCATATGGTATTATGATGTTAGAATGATAAAATAAAGGAAACCGGTTTCTGAAGGGAAAGAGAGAATAAATTAGCTTTGTAGATAGCTGTGATCAATAGAAGGAAATACGTAATAGAGCCTACTGAGACGAATTCATATAATTCTTGTTGGTTCAAAGGTGCATCCTCGTCATATCCAGAATCTTTTTGCAAAGTCTCTATCAATTATGTCTCCTACTACTCGTCCACAGACCTTGACTTTAAGCTCTCCACTCTACACCAACAGTACTAAGAGTTCTGTTGAAGGAGTCACCAATGTGTTATTTGATGAGTACATACAGTGGCTTATAAGTCAGTATAATATGAGCACACCAACACCTATGCTGGTGGGAGATATAGAAAGTAGTGAGAACTCTGCAGTACAAGTAAGTTCTGGGATGATATATATGTAATGCAGTTTGAAATTAGATTTAACTAAGGTTCAAAGGAAACTGAAAAGAGCAAGGAAATTGTGATCCACAAACACCAAAGAACTGTTATTGAATTGTCAGTCCTTCAATATGAAATACGATTCAGTATCTCCATCAACAATATGGTTAGACCTACTATCTGCTTCATAATGAATTCAAGATATCAATGGAAAGCCTATATCATTTCATTTATAGCCCAAATTCTCCCACAACTAATACAAATATCATCTGTAGCTGAAAGCCTACTGTTACCTCACCAATTAGGCATAAACTCATTGAAACTGCAACTTCTAGTTGCTATTACCACCATCTCCCACTTGCCAAAGTCACTAAAGTAGCTGATATCAAAGCTCCTAATTGATCTCTACAACAAATCTTTCAAAGCAAAGAATACAATTATTATATCGTATGAGTTAAACTATTTCTTACTACAAAATCTAAGAAAGTACAACTATGTTGGGATCTTGATTTTCATGATTGGCAGGACAATAACTTTAGTGATGTGATATTTTCTGATGAGGCAGCATTCAACTGTGGAGAAATATCTGGAATTGTTTGGGTTATATGGAAGACAGGAGAAAAGTACAATGAAGATTGTCTTGTCCTGAATTTCAAAAAACATACTTCGATTATGGTTTGGGGAGCAATCTGTGACTATTAAAAATCACCTCTTGTTATTTGGGAAATGGAAAGCTAGGGCAAAATCTCCACACCAATGGATATCCAGCATGTCATTTCACCTGTTCTCTTTTTCTGGTAGCAGAAACTCTGTTGACAGGGTAGCTATTCAGGATATGTTTACTTCCAGCAGGATGGAGCTCCAGTCCATACACCAATTCGAATGAAGTAAGAACTTGATCATCTTAGAATCAGCCCCTATATTTTCCCCTGGCTAGCAAGTTCACCTGATATGTCACCAATTGCAGAAGTTTGGAAACAAATGAAATGAAATATGACTAAGCACAATCCTTGACCTAAGACAGTCATCAAGTTATAGTAAGCAATTTTTAATGAATGGAACAATCTTCAGCCTAAAACA